GCCGGCGGGGCCCCTGCGGGGCGGCGGGCGAGCGCGGTCGGCCAGGCCGCCGGCGAGCGGGGTCGCGGGCCCGCAGCCGCAGCGCCCAGGGCCGCCGCCCCGAGGAGGCCCCGCGTGCACCGGCGGCGGCGGGCGGGATGGAACCGCGCTTGGGAAGTGGCTCGCGGCCTTCATGCCTTTTTAGAGAAGTTGCCAAAATTATCGTTCGGGGGGAAAAAACCGTTATTTATGTGCCTGAGACCTGAGAGCCCCATGGCCTGCTTCGCAAGGCAGCCTCGTAGGTGCAGGTGACTATCGTGTTTCCTTTTTTATTATTATTATCATTATAAAAGTGAGGCGTGTTCATTAATGAGAATGTGGAAAATACATAAAAGGAAGTAGAAGTCCCACCAGGGAAACGACCCCTTAGACGTGTAGTTCTCTAATCGAACGTGTGCATCGAATCTCTCACTATCCCTAAAAACGACAGTCTTTGCAATGAAAATTCTACGGCTATTAAAATGACGCGAAAAACCTGATGAAGCGCCATCTCTGGGGAACGAACTGTCCGGCCAGTTCACTTGTCCTGCCAGCCAAGGCCTGGGCAGAACACCTTTCTGTTTACCACTGCTTTTAAAGTCTTTGCTAAAATGAACTAGTAATCCGGCCTGATTCAGTAAAAGTGACAACGTGAATGTCATCTACCGTCGTTTGTTATTTTTGGGGGTCCCGAAGGCGGCAGCTGTGAGGGCCCGTGACCTCGAGCTGTGCCCGGGGCAGGGTGAGGCCGAGGCGCGAGGTGATGGGCAGCCGTCGGGGGCTGGACGGGACCCGTTTGCGCAGACGGCACGGGGTGGGCACGTGCACATGCCGGCTGGGGAGGCGCAAGGTGCCACAGGCCGCAGAACGCGGGTGGCCTTTGGGAGCTGGAGAAGGAGGGAAACCGATTCTCACCGGAGCCTCCAGAAAGTGAAGCGGACACCTTGGTTTTACCCCCGATGAGACAGATGTTGGGCCTCTGACCTACAGAGCTGGAAGATAATAAATCTTTGTTAAGTTGCTAAATTAGTGGTAATTTGCTGCAGCAGCCTTAGAAAACTAATACACAGTGGAATGGAAACAAAGTGGACTTCAATAAAAGATGTCTTTTAATCAGTGGGAGTTAGGATCTCCCAAAGTCCACTGTTTTATTTTTAAGTGTTACTGATTTTAGCTAATCTGTATGGGACTCCATGATTCCAATTCTAAAAAAGAGAAGTATGGTTTGAACCAAGGGTTCTCACACTTCAGAAGCGTTGAAATCACCTAGGAAGACTTGTTAAAACAGATTCTTCCACTCCACCCCTAGGGTTTCCAATTCTATGGCTCTGGAGTGAGCCTGAGAATTTGCATTTTTAACAAGTTCTCTGGTGATGCAAGGTACGCCGATCAGGGGACCATGCTCTGAAAGCCACCAGATTCAACAGTGTCCCAATTCCTTCTCAGTTCAATTATTCTATGAGTCTGCAACTCCAGGTGAAACTATCAGTTTCTATATTGAAGTCTATTAAAGATATTTTCAGAAATCATTTCTTTCATATGAATATGATCAATGAAGAACTGATAGGGTCATGTATCCCTTTATCCAGAATTCAGGGCCTAGAAAACTTAAGATTTAGGACATCCCTGAAACTGGGATGTATTTAGCATACATTTTTAGTATGTATACAAATAATCAGTAGCCCTTCTTAATACATACATTTTTTGAAGCTTAGGAATGTTACTAATATTCAATTAGTAATAAAATACTATTAGTAATAATTAGCAATAATTAATACTAATAAAATGCCTTTGAATATTAGAAATATGATTAATCACAAAGCCAATTTTCTGGAGTTATACTTTGAATTTTTATTTAAAGTCTAATATGTCTTTACTGCTTAAATTGAGCAAATTCTGTTCAGATGTCAGCTAACTTGTTCATTGCTGTATTAAAGACAATTTAATTCTGGCATAAAAGATAAATATAATGGAGAAAAGTGAAGCTATTTTAGATTTGAAAGGATGAGTAATTACAGTGGATAAGGTACTTAATTTTTTCTAATTATTTCATCAATGAAAATTTGGAAAAAAAGAACAACAAGAAAAACGGTCCCACCACCCAATATTCTAACCCTAATGCAAAATCTTCTCCAATGGCTTTTAACTCACTCCAGTCACCCGCCCGCAGGGTTGACCCCTGAACCTACTTCTCTCCCAGACTCAGGAGTTCAAACAGCGCATCCCCAGCTACTACTGCTGTGACCGCTTTCAGTCTCATTGTGACCCCTAAACCTTGACCCCTACTCTTAAATTTTTATGTCTCTCCCCACACAGTGTAGATTCCATGGTACGTCATTTCATTCTGTACTGTATGCTCCCCTCCGTTGCGTCCTCCTTTTCCCCCCTCTCCTGTCCTGGCCCCTCACCCTAGTGAATCCTGTTACCCATGTTTCCTGTCAGGACACTGGAAGGTGAGCATTGCTGAGCAAAGTCCCCCGACGGAGCAGACCGGTGCCCCCGCAGCAGCATGGCTGCCGTCTCCCGAGGAGCCTGGGTGTTACCCGCCTCTGCCCCCTGCTCTGCGGCTGCCCCCACCGCTGTATCAAGCTTCCCCAACACTCTCCCCTCACTGCAGGGGAAGTCCTTGCTTCCTACCTCAAAGAGACACACGCTAGGTGAATATGCCCTTTCTTTACCAAAACTGCCTGCATCTGTAATCCATTCCATTCTTTGTTCCCTGTTAAAAGAGAGGAAGAGTCCCCCCTTTAAAAACTCGGCTCCCTCACAGATTCGGTGCCTTTTCCCTTCCCTGGTACCTTTTCAAGGTCTCCACTTTCCTCATTCCACCAGCATTTGCCATCTTGGCAGCAGAAAGTGCTCATCCAACTCTTTATCACCTTCAGGATATTTTGACCACATCATGCATTTGAGAACTTGCAGGCAATTCATCAGCATAGCTGGAGCCTATTTAAATCGGTTCAGAAACATGTATTCAGGAATCCTTTTACCAAGAATCTCCTCTGTTTCTGTGCCATCTGAGTCCTGTAAGACAGCATAACTGATGGTAAGGACCGAAGGACCAAAATCCTCAAGGCTATGAGGTCATCGCATACTAACGATGTGGAGGAGACGGTCGGAGACCCTGTGAGACCCCCACCGAGGTGACTCCTCTGGGGATTCTTTGCCCAGGGCATTGTGTTCCCATCCACCCAGTTTCATAAACTAGAAACCTAGAAATCACCCAACTCCCTTTTTTAAAAAAAATTTAAATCCATTTCCTGAATATATCTGCAGTCTGTCTGTATATTTTCCAGCTCAGGGACCCATCCTAATCGTAGCCACTATCACTTCCCAGCTACTGTAATAACAGCTTCAATCAGGCCATTCCTTGTTCTCTCTACCCCGCTCTAATTCATTTCTCAAACAAAAGCCACAACAACCTTTTTTAAAAATATAAACCAGACCAACCTTTTTGTTTAAAACCATGCAAAGTTTTCTTGTTTCTCGTAGGATAAAATCCTAAATCCTTAATTGATCTACTGGACCCTGCCTACCTACTTCACTAGCCCCGTCTTGCAGCATTTTCACATTCTTAATTAAGCTCCAGTGACTGTACTTTTTTCAGTTCAAGTGCTTCATCATCTTTTCTACTTCAACCCTGTCTGTCTATAGAGTCTTCCACCAGTAGGTTAATAAATTTATGTTGAATGAATAAACAAATGAATACAATGTGTTTACAATAATCTTTCCCAAGGAAAATTCAGAATCATAGAATTCTGGAACCTAGACTCCTTAAAGACCATCTAATAAAGTCTTTTCAGAGGTCCAGGAAAAGTGCTTGCCCCAAAGAACATTGTGATAGAAATCTAGAAAAGATGCCCTGAAAGATTTGAAATCTAGGTGTGAATCTAGGGTTTGGCTTTGAAGATTACAATGCTGAAACAATTTATGCTGCTTTGAGAAGGCCAGGAACTGACAGAAGGAAGAATTAAGTTGGTAATAGATACATAATAATAAAGCTTCCTCTCTATATGAATAGGAATTCTTCTGTGTCACAGCTGGTGTTTCCTCTACTTTAGCTAGAATCTAAAATGCTGTATGTAAACCCACTTGAATAAACTTACTCCTATTTTATGCCATAGAGCTTAATACTATTTATTCATAAAATAGTAATCCTGTTTTAATGAATCTATTTCTTTGAAAACACAACGATCAATCTTGTTCTTTTGAACACTACACATAGAAGTGCAGCGTGTAGTTAGTTCATAACTAAATACAACTTTCAGAAGACAATAGGTTCTGCAAGTTATGCCTGGTTGGTGGTTTTTGAAGAGTGACATGCATTTATTTGTGTTAGATGGAGTGAATGATGACTGTAATATGAGAATAATGTGTAAGTTTGTTATAAGTATATACATTTCTGTTCTGACAATTTCTATGTTATAATATTCCACTTTCAACCTGTTGATTATCTTATTTTTGCTTTTGTTTAATCCTACCATGCTTCATTCTCTCCTTTTATTCATAGTTCTTCTAGTCAATGCTTTCTGTCTTTCTTACCCTTGGCAGAATTTTTCTTAAGAATTTTAGCAGGCACCTGAGTAGCTAAAATTTTAATGTTTAAAACATTAAGCTTTTGACTAAGTGAAACTCAAACTGATTTTTTTTCAACTGTAACATGAATATACACTCAAAATAACACACATTTCTTACAACTATCAGTTCCTACCAGCAATTTCAGTGCTGACATTTATAAATTAACAGTCAAGTTTCCAGGTGACTGGGGCTGACATTTGACTCTCCTGGGCCCAAGGCACTTTTGCCATTGTGGGGCCCTTCCTCCACCAGAAATATATTAAACATTTCTTTTAACCAGATTTATGTGAAACCATCTTCTTATTTTTTAAGTTGATTTTAAAACTACTGTGGTGTAAAGAGACCATCACGCTGGATTTATTGTTACATATTTTTTATTATCATTATGTTAATGTTTTTCTTCGGAAAGAAATTAAATTAAAACTTCTTTTCATAAGCCTTTAAAAATACCATGGGTCCCAGGCACTGTGCCTAGTGGATAAATCTGCCCTGTAGGACCGTTTCATGCTCCGCGATGGAGATGGTCCCGTGGAACTCACGTCTAGCTGAACTCTGCAGCAGTGGTTCTCAGATTTTATCACGCATGAGAATCAACTGGACAGCTTGTGAAACAGTTTCGGGGCCATCTCAGACCATCTGGTTCACTAGGTCTGGGTAAAGCCCATGAATTTGCACTTTTTTTAAAGGAAGT